TTGTCGTCGCAACTATCAAATAGGGAGCATTCCAAATTTTTCTGTCACATATGCTTAAATCATTTCTCTTCGAAGCACATACTGGAAAAGCATACCGTCCGCTGCCATCAAATAAATAAATGTGCACTAAGATTGCCCGTTGAATCTGAAAAAATTGTGCAGTTTTCTCACTATTCGAATAAGGAAAAAGTACCGTTTGTGATTTATGCTGATATAGAAAGCATTTTGGTAAAGTGTGACAATTCTTGCGGTGTGGGGAAAAACACTAACCCATTTCAAAAGCATATTCCTCATAGCATTGCGTTTTATTTCAAGTGTGCTTATGACGATTCACTCTCTAAGTTTTTTTTGTATCGGGGCCCGGATTGTGTAAAATGGTTTATTAGTCAGTTGCGTACCATTGCTATGTGGGCAAATACAAATATTAACAACCCTTTGCCGATGGAAAAATTGAGTGCAGCTCAGCAGAATGATTTCGAGAACGCCACTCATTGCCACATATGTGAAAAGCCGTTTTTGGAAAATGAGATTCGTTGTCGCGATCACTCAGCGCCGGATTTAGGTATACGCACGTGCGTAGGGCGCAAAACTTTTGTGGGCGCAAAATTTTGTTACTTATAACGCCGGTATCACGACAAGCTTCCAATTTGGATCTTCGTCACGAGTGTCGGAGTGTTGAGTGCGCACGAGCACGTTACAAGGGGAAGGGAGAGGAAACGACGCATTATAAAACGAAAACAACTAGAACTACGCATGATCCAACTTGCCACTGATGACTGACTGTTGCCAGCTTGCCACACCACAGTTGAGTTCATTCATCGCACATCGCGGCCTGTAGCCTGTAGTGTAGGCGCCTGATGCTGTGTCTCGTGTCGTGTCTGTCATACAGTACAAGCTGTAACACACAAACAGTGACAGAGTAGTAGCAGTAGGGAATTATTTATCAGTTGAACTGCTAAACAAATTATGATTCTTTTCTCGCTGTTTTTGAATGTAATGTAAGTTTTGGTAGTTTCAGTAAGACATCAGATCAGTGCTAATGCTAAACAATTTAGTCAAATTGAGTTTTGTAGTGACGATTTTCATTTTGATTTTCCTTCAGGTTGAAGCATTTATGAACAATTGGTGAAAATGGACAAACGATTGAAACGAATGAGTGGAGCGGCTGGCAGAAAAGCAAGAAAAGAGAAAGAAGAGAAAGAAGAAGCTGTGTTGAAGAAAGTTCGAAGAATGGAGACATTTTATAAACCAATAGAAAAACCTGAATCTGATACAACAGGTAATGTTAGTTCAGTACTACTGTCTACATCGCTCGAATTGCCAAGTACTTCTGCTGCCACAATACCATCACCATCAGCCACTGTAGTTTTAAAACATCAGCTTCAGCCTGAAGTTGATCAACTTGAACGAGAAGAGCTGCAAGGAAATATTCTTGACAGGGGAGATCAGCGAGATGAATTAGAAAAGTCGTCTTGTGCAGTTAGTAACGATCCAGCAGAATGGGTCATCAATGATGCTACAATTGATTATCTGATCTCCAGAGGTAGTATCGATCAGAATTTAAATGCTGATTTTCCCGAAACAAAAAAATTTTTTCCAACCCAGAAAAAATTCAGAAGCCTAACTAGGAATATGTTCTTGCGTGAACTTCAGAATGGTGAAAAACAAGTAGGAAAATATTTGATATACTCACCTAGCAAAAAATCAGTATATTGTATACCTTGTCGACTATTTAATGGCACTTCTGTCTTGGCTACAAGTGATGGCTGATTGGTCCAATGCACATCCTGTATTTTCTCATCATGACAATTCTCCAGAGCATTATAAATGTGGAAAACTTCTTTTTGAAAGATCTCGCGTTGCTAGTAGAATTGACAATCAACTTTATGAGCAAATTGAGCAGGAAATCAGTTACTGGAGAAATGTCTTGAAGCGAGTTGTGGCAGTTGTTAAAAAACTAAGCTCACGTTGCCTTCCTTTTAGAGGATCAGAAGAAAAATTTGGGAGCGTTCACAATGGAAATTATATGATGTGCTTAGAGTTAATAGCTGAGTTTGATCCTTTTTTAGCCAAACATATTACAGAGTGTGGAAATCCAGGCAGTGGAAGAACTTCATATCTTTCTTCTCAAATATGTAACGAATTTATTTCATTAATGTCGAAAAAAGTTACTGAGGTCATAACTCATGAAGTGAAGAAAAGCAAATATTTTTCAATAATTGTCGACTCAACACCAGATATAAGTCATACTGACCAACTTTCAGTAATTTTGAAGTATGTCAAAAATGTTCCTGTTGAAAGATTTATTCGATTTCTACCAAATGTCGGTCATAAGGCCAAAGAAATGGCGGATGCTGTGATTCTAATTCTGGAATCAATGGAGTTGGACATAAAAAATTGCGTTGGACAATCATATGATAATGCCACCAACATGTCCGGCATTTATTCTGGCCTGCAAGCTATAATTCTCGAGTTGTGTGGTCTGGCTGAGTATGTACCTTGTTCTGGACATTCATTGAATCTTGTGGGAGCAGCTGCAGCTGAATGTAATTTAATAGCAGTCAAGTTCTTCATGACTCTCAATCATTTGTTCACATTTTTCAGCGCATCTACAGCTAGGTGGGAAATACTGACAGGGATGTTACAACCAGGTCAGAAAGTGCTGAAAAGAGTGGATGGCACACGATGGTCAAGTCGGCATTTTGCGTGTAGTAGCTTATATGGAAATCGAGAAGCAGTTTTAGCAGCATTGACGCGCATTCAAGCTGACCAATCACAGAAGGCCACAGTTCGTTGTGAAGTTATGGGACTAATTAAGCAACTTGGCCAGTTTCAATTTGTTTTCATGAATATTTTCTGGAATATAATTTTAGAAAGATTCCATAAAACGAGCAAAAAATTACAAGAAGTTGAATGAGATCTTCAGGTAGCTGTGGTTCTCTATGAATCTCTAGTGAACTTTGTTGCTGCCTTGCGATCCGAAGCCAAATTTGAGGATTTTTTTCATGAAGCGAAAAATATTTTGGGAAGCAGTCTTGAACCCACAACTGAGACACGGACAGTAACAAGACGACGAGCTGCTGACGAAAGTGCTTCAAAAGAAGATGAAACAGTTTTGACGGGTAAAGAGAAGCTGCGAGTTGACTATTTGGAAATATTGGATAATATTGCTAACGAAATGCAGAAAAGACATGTAGCCTATAAGAATGCAACTGATAAATTCAATTTCTTGTTCCATCTACATAACTTGGAACCAAATGATGTAGAGAGAGAAGCAAGGAAATTACTTGAGCATTACAAAGATCATATCGACGAGAATTTTGTGATGGAATGTGTCCATTATAGAGAATTTTTTAATTGCCTAGAAAATCCCGAAAAAAAATGGACGATCCACGAAATGTTCGCAACTTTTAAAGAAAAAGACATGCAAGATGTTTTTCCGAATATAGATATAATTTTTCGAATTTTCTTATCTAAAGCTATAACAAATTGTTCGGCCGAAAGGTCCTTTTCCTTGCTAAAAAGACTATTGAGTTGGCTGCGGTCGAGTTTGGCAGACGAGAATTTGAACGACTTGAGTGTTCTTGCCATTAATCACGACATAACAAATAATATTGATTTCGAGGAACTAATATGTGAATTTGCACATGTGAAAGCCCGTAGGAAAATGTTCTGAGGCTGATGAGTTCTTGTTAACTTCATTAGATCATTACCTATTTTTGTTTCCATTATTTATTCTTTTACTATATTTTGTTGTGTTCTTGAAATAATAAAGTTCTTAACGTGAAAACCGAGTTAATTGTGCTAATGTGGGGGGGGGGGGGCATTTGGACCAACATAAAGGGCGCAAATTATTTGAGCGCATAGGGCGCACAAAACCTAAATCCGGCGCTGCCTCACATTTATTAAATTTGAAATAACAGACAATATTAGATTAGATTAGAAATGTAGGACCTTTAGCAACTCGCTACTGGATTCATTTGTTTACGTTGTTTTACAGCAGCGATGACATTCGCCCTAATGTGAAATTTTTATCATCTGTCCAAATCAAAATTTGTCGGATGATAGCTGATGCCTGTAAATTTAGCTTAACATCTATAAGCTGAGTACATCTAAATCTTTGCAAACCTTTTTGTTGCTGCAAACAATTGGAAGCTATTATGGAGAAATTGAAATTTAATAATATAGACTTCTGCGATAAATAAATTACCATTCATTTAGGGCAAAATCGTTGCCCCGAAAACATGAAGAACCTCGATTATTTCGTCCGTTCCGTTGAATAGTGTAAAATGTCGCAAATTTTAACCGCGTTCTGTAATGACTGTAATTAAGTTAGTATCGCTGGCAGCGTTTAGAAAGATTTGTCCCAATAAATACAATGTCCTTCACCTTCAATGCCGCATCGTTTTTCTCTCGTTGTCAATGATCCATAACGGGAAACATAATCAATGAAGAAAGTATCTTAACGTCGAAGACCTGTTATAAATGTAAGTTTCCTGCCGAAACTAGAAAACAGCAACTGTGCCAAATTCCAAGCGATTTTAATCTCGCGAGAGCAAAATGTGTAACTTTCGTTTGCCGATTCCATCACACGTAACAATGTGAAGAAGCTCGGATATAATGTTTCGTAACGCACAATGAATTTGAATATTTCACCGGAAAAAGTGCGCGTTTCCGTAATCATAAAGATGGGACAATTTCGATATAATAATTACCGTGAACGGAGTGAATGTGACCTTCACCATGAGAGAAAGAGTTGCCTTCATTTTTATCGGAAATTAAATTGTAGCAGCTAGAACTCCTTTCTCCGCATCCCGACGAAAGTGACAGTGCTCCGAAAGTTCCTAAATAAAATATTGACCAAAAATGTCACGGAAATACCTTAATAATTTATGTAGCCGCACAAAAAAAGTGACAGCTGCTTCCCGAAATTAGATTTATTCGTGCATGCAGACTTTGGAGTAATCGTTGCAACGCTTGGATTAGGTAAATTAGAAGGTATGGTCATGGACAAAACCGTAATTAAGTTCAGTGAACTGGCGTAAATGTATGCTCTCTTTTTAACTGGATGATGTGCCTTTTTATTAATTTTATTGTATACTAATATCAGTCCTTTCACTAGGCCCCACCTAGAGCATCCTATAAAAGCCGCCGGATTTCTGATGATCATCACAGTTTTCAGTTCTCTTCTCGTTGAGCTCAAGTACCACAAAATGCATTTCTTCGTAAGTATGATCAGTTGTGAAGTGTAATATGAGGTAACGTGTACGTTTTGCAGGTGGTTGTAATGGTCGTGGGTTTTTCCTGTGCCGTTAATGCCGGTTTCGCCAGTCATGATGCTGGAGGTTACGGCGGCGGAGACTTTGGAGGACATGGCGGCGGCTTTGCCAGTGGCAGTGGATTGGATTTAGGAGGACACGGTGGAGACATTGGCGGTGGCGGATTTGAGGAACACCATCACGGGGGGCACTTGGAAACAAAAACTGTTGAGGTTACGAAACCGGTGCATGTACCAGTCATTAAGAAAATTGGCATTCCGGTGCCGCATCCAGTTGGAGTTCCGGTACCGCAAGTCATAAAGGTTCCGGTTCCCCAACCTTACCCTGTACATATACCGGTTCCACAGCCGATTGCAGTTCCTATCTACAAATTAGTGCCGCAAGAAATCGAGAAAAAGGTTCCCATTACTATTGAAAAACCAGTCCCGTATCCAGTGGAAAAGCCCTACAAAATTGAAATCGAGAAACATCATCCAGTTCACATCGCCAAACCATACCCCGTTCATGTACCGGTCTACAAACACGTGTACCACCACGTCCCTAAACACGGATGGCAATAAATGCCGCAATTTGTGATTGACTGTACTTCCATCGCCATCATATTTCATTCATTAATTTCATCTTGTTGTTATTGTTGTTGTTGATTGTATACTTTTGTTGTTTTCATCGTTTTTATGTATAATATAAAGAAAGTGGAATATTAACTTTTGCTTTACTTTCACTAATATCACATTTCTCTTGACACAGTTGCTCAAGCGAGTTTAGCTAATCTACACGGTCAATTATAGACACATGCACTGTCCAACTTTCGAAATTTAGAAAACGGGCGCTTATTAGCTTAATCAATTCATCTACCAAAGAACAGATAAATAAAATAGCGATGGTGTATCACTTATAAACGTTTATCAATGTTTTGACAGTCCCGTAGTAGGTTTATTAAACTCCATTGAGATTTAAAATGGATTGCGGATTGCATTTCAAGTCTAAATTGAAGCCATAGTCGTCGCTTACTTTTTCCTTTAACGGAAACGGTAAATAGAATTATATCGTTTTTCTGTAGTAATAACGAGCAGGTAATATAAAATATAAATACACATCCGCAAGCATGAAGTACAAAACCACAAATAGAAGTAATCGACCGAAAGGCTGGTATATTATAAAAGAAATGAAACACATGCAAGGCTCGCAATTTGCTGCTTCGGTATTTATCTTGAATAACTTGAATGCATCTTATACTTCAAGATCACAGACCGAGATAGTACCTGCATAATATAATAAGCGTTTAACTTTGTTTATAAAAACGTGAAATATCTATTAATTACAAAGAAAGTAGACCGAAGTAATTAATAATTGCAATGAAAACCATTGCAAATGAGTCATCGTCACGGCGCGGAAAATGATATAGTTCTTGCAGACGAATGTTGTAATGCAATAAAAGCCAAGAGTGAGTTAGTGGTCATAAGACGAGAGTGAGTTAATATTGCAAAAAGCGCAATTCCTTGCAATGTGACACGCGCTATAAAAAGGTGTGAAATACGCTACAAGATCCTGCGGAGGACCTCGCGACGTCAGCATCGCGCTGTGACAAATTTATGACGTCTCCGTTGATTTACGAAGAGTTCTACAAAAACCAACGTATTTATTAGTTTAACCTGAGCTTTTATATGGGGGTTATTTATATTATTTGCGGTCATATATTTACGCTTATTGAACTAGTTTGAAATATTTTCATACTGTAACACGCGGCGCTTAGAAACGTTATGAAAATCTGACACTTAGGTATTTAGTTTATTGGTGTCTGCTCCATATAATAAACGACTAATAAATTAAACCATAGCGTATTCCTTTATACCCCCATCCGTCTTATAATTTTTTGGCATTTCGTCTTGATAATAATAACCATTAACTTTCCACCGTTTAAGGATTCCGAATTAAAAAAATTCACTGATTTCACAATCCATGCAACCATCGGAGACATTGGAAATGATAACCGTATAACGCCATATATGTAAAACACAAATAACCCTTATTCACCCGGAATAACTTGCTCCACTCGCTCGCAAGTTCGCTCGTGTCGCAAACGTGAACATTCTGAATAATAAGCGGCGTAACATGCTCGTAATATTATCAAAAGAGGTGTGCATTTAAGGTTCGGACAGACGGACTTTATCGGAAATCCTTAAATGGGGTTTATTTTTTTCAGTGTCGTTAGGGCTGCATAGTTTTGGATATTGGATTTTACAGAGTATTCCCATTAGAAAGTCAGTTTCGAAGACATCTTATTAATGCCAAATTTTTAGAAATCGGTTCTTAATCAGTGCGTGTTAATTGGTTAATCGCCTGAGAAAGTTATCAGCGCCAGTCTGACGAGCGGTAATACGATCTTAATGTGTTTTACGTGACCACAACAGTTCAATCAGGATAACGCAGAATGATATCGCGCAGCGTCGTGAGAATCGGTAGGTTGCAGTTTTGAAAACGGTCGTGGGTTTGATTGATGGCGCTCACGCGCGCGGCATTCTTTGAGGGAACGAATCAGATTAGCTCATGATTAAAGATGGCCAACTTACCCAATAAAAAAGGGTAAGTTAGGCCTGAACTAGGGGATTTCGTTTTGGACCACCAGTTTAAAAAAAAGTAATTGATTTTCAAGCATTAAAAGTTAAGTAGCCAGCTGAAAAGTTTTTCGTGTGGCTGACGTTTTTCATTTGTGCAAATATTCCGCGAAGTTCACAATAGCAAATCAGTAAAAAAACCGGAAACGAGTTAAGTAGCCCCCAAATTAATTTTAAAAAAACCCTCCGTTGGGATGCTCACTCAGTGTCATATAAAAACAGATCGGGAGAAATTTAGTACTTCAAAAATTAGAGTGCCAGTTTAAACAATTAAAAAATTTTCCATTTTAAAAGTTTCAATTAAACCAGTTAGGGTGTGACCTTGCAGTGAACTATTATAGTTGAAAATTCTGTAGGTAACTTCCCACTAAGTTTATTCTTTATCTTTAGCTCAATTTCGCTATGCTATGAATAAAGATAGATATAAAGCTGGTAATGATGCGAGCCGTTGGAACCATCTGTGTAATATAAGCCCAAATTACTAATTACAAGGATTAATAAATGATCATTATGTTGCAATTTAAATTATTATATAAATACCTGTTTTCCCAATATTGTATCTAATGAAATTGGGCAAGGTCAATCAATAAAATATCAGAGCAATTCGACATGACCAGTAAGTATATCTTACAAATATTTAAACAGAAAAAGTCAGCATTGAAATTGTGTGTTTTTATCTGTAATATGAGTAGGTACTCTAAAACAGTAAATATCACACGCCACTGGATCAACACAACTTCCTTTATGCATTGTACAGTGGAACATTCAATTATTCGACGTCCATACGCTCATAAACACTTCGCTCATACATCGGGAGTCTAGAGTGTGGTTCCAAAGGCGCGCATCAATCATCATTACTAGCTTTATATCTATCTTTATTCATGGCATAACGGTATTGAGATAAACAATAAACTTGGTGGGAGGTTACACTATTTTCCCCCGATTCCTTTTTTAGATGATACGAACTATAATAGAATATATAACTCTTGCCAAGAAAGATTGCCGGTCACAGCACACCTTGCGTCAATTTACAATTTATGTTTTTTTTAAGATGCGAGCGACTTCCGGAATAGGATCGTGCCAATGTTGAGCGAAAAGACTTTTCGTTCAACATTGGCACGATCCTATCCCGGAAGTCGCTCACATCTTTACAAAAACACAGATTGTAGACCGGGATCCGGTCTTCTGTGACCGGAAATCTTTCCTGGCGAGAGGTTTACCATATTGCATAAGGAAAGTTTAGTCGAAAAAAGACAGTAAAAGTAGACGTTTCAATGGCGAAGAGTAAGAAGCGGTAATCGGAAAATCTATTTAAAGAAAATTCAATAGTAGTGTTTCCGGAAATCCAGTTTCGATTATACAGTGCGTCTCAAAAAGTTTTATACAAATGGAGAAAAAGGTTTACATTTCATAAGCAAAGTATTCTTGATGAAACTTTCTGCATGACTTTGTAGATCAGCACATTTTTAAAGCATTGACGGGAATTCAGGGAAAATTAAAATCATCGTTTGGAGTGAGCACATACTGATGTAGCATTGGACATTTGTTAACAGTTATTACTTAGATATTCCAAAGCACTACACTACAAGTCATGCAGAGCCCATCAAGAATTCGTTTGTTTACGAAATGTGTATCCTTTTTCTTTATTATTTTTGTATAAAACTTTTTGAGGCAAACTCATACTCTCTAGCTTTAAGGCGTCATCCCTTCAAGAAGTGCCGTCCCGATTGCACCAAGAAATAGTATCAAATCCTGAAAACCGTATAAGTAAGGTAAAGTATTTGATTTGTGTAAAAATACTGATCAGTTCTTTTGCGTTATTTTTATTTCTGTTGTAATTTGGTTCTCTTCTTTGCCTGATTCGTTCAACATTGACAGAGACCTATTCCGGAAGTCGCTCGGATCTTATTGACTGTGGCCATGGAAGCCTCCGCTGTGACATTAATCATTTAGGTTAACACCAGAGGATTCCAGTTCTGCAAAAACAGACGAGAACAATCCAGATTTTTTTAATTTTAAGCGTGTTTCGGCCACACTCCATTAGGAGATAGCGCCAATGCACTCGAACTACGTTACCTACGCGCACCTGTACCGCCCTTAACAACTGACCCCCCGCACGCTACCAGAAGCTACTGGCAGAGGCCGCAAGATCCTTTCTCGAAAAAAAAATGCATTAGCTCTGTTTGCCTAGGGTGCGTTCAACCTGGGGCACACGGTATATATGTGTATTTGTGTGGGTAAATAAAACACTTCTTGTTAGTGCATGTATACCGAAACTCTTCTCGCTTGAGTACCACCATCAAAACAGCCTCCCCTCTCCAACAACTGGCGCCCAGCTAGTAAGACAGACATCACGACGCCACCATACAGCGGATTCTTTGCGAACTGTACCGCCAGGTTTGACGCGGCGCAAGCTTTTATGGACAACATCACGACGTACAAAGACTGCACGGCGGTTTCCGAAGAGAACGTCCTAACAGGTATGTCGATGCTATTAGAAAGAGACGCCGCAGAAACCACCCCACCAGTTACTTCGCTAGCTATTTGAGACGGAATAGGGCCCCAGCGACCCGGTCGAACTGTTCATTTTGAGAGAATGGCCGTCAACTTCTGATAATCCACCCTTATAGTTAGGCAACACACCTTTACGTCTGAAACAAAAGTATGATATGCTCTGCAGATGCCGAATACTAGGGGATTTTCGTAACGAAGCTAGGGGAAAAAAGAACGTGGCAGAAGAAAGAAAATGGAGACGCGGTTGATGGAGGGCATCGCGCTTTCCAGGGTTTTCTTGATTATTTAGTTTGTTGTGTTTTGAAGGTGTAATTACAGGTAGTAACCATTTTATTCTTTTTTGTACGAACTATTAATCATTGAATTCCTTGCCACAATTTGATATTATTTACATTTTGCTGATTTTGTATAAACTGCAATATCTAAATATGGCGTACTCCACGCTTTTGTTTTTGAATATCGTTATCTGAATCATGTTACACTGTACAGGTGATTATACCATTATTCTGTTTTAGTATTATTTCGGTATTCACGAGAAGTTGATTATCAGTGCGATGTTGCTCTGTTCGATTGAT